TATATATATAGTGATGTCAAAAATACACATTTGTTACTTAAGTAGAAGAATAGATACTGCAGTTTAAAAACACTCTGTTGAAAGTTGAAGGATCAACTTAACCTCTTTACTTATGTAAAATTGAAAAAGTATGTGCTCCAAAATCTACTCAAAGTATAGCATGGCATAGATAATTCACGTTTGCAGTTTGAAGAATACCTGCTTGCTTTTGATGATTTCCTTTAGCTAACCAATGAGTGTTTGCGTTATATGACTCATCCAATCACACTAGTTTTCACTTGATGTGGATGGAGCCAATGATCTGCATTGGATGGAGCACATGACGTGAAATAAATATTTATAAATATTAAACCGAAGCCAAGAGTAATGAGTAACGTTTGTTTTAAAAATCAAAAGAATAGAAAGTACAGATACTTGTGTGAAAATGTTATGAGTAGAAGTAAGAAGTAGGAAGAAAAATAAGTAAAGGAGTAAAGTATAGATACCTAAAAAGTGTACTTAAGTACAGTAATGAAGTATTTTTACTTTGTTACTTGTCACCTCTGCAGAAGACCCAACTGTTTACTGTGCACCAATATATCAGCCTTAAACTGTTTTTTTGTTTAGGCTGTTAAAAAGACGAAGCAAGTGTGTATATCACTATCAGTAATGAAGTATTTGTACTTCGTTACTTGACACCTCTGCATATATATATATATATATATATATGTGTGTGATATTTAGCATTAATAAATAACAACCTAAACAAAAAGCAGTGTTTAATGTTGTTTTATTTTGAGATCCACTGCACACAAATCTAGGTTCCCAGATACCTTGACAAAAGGTGAAACTTTACTGTTTTTCTCCTGTATCAAATAAGACTCCGTCTTGATGAGATCCCAAAATGATCATATATGTTGTAGTGGCGTCACTGGAGACAACAAAGCTGCAGATTCCCCACTTTCTTCAACATAAGGAACGCTTCAGCATTAAAAAAGCTCCAGCTGACAAAACTTAAACGCTGAACAGACACATTCTGCTGTTAGGTGACCTCAGTTCAGAGCAACACCTCATATGTCACAGTTTATCTTAAATGAAGATGTGATGAAGGACAATGTATGGATTACCAGGCCACCAAAGGTTAGAAATTGATAAGATTTTGTTTGTTATTTAAACAGTGACGAACCCTTAAATCAACTCAGGTAATAAAATTACCCACTCTTGTTTTATCTACACTGAAAGGCTTGGAAATCCAAAACCAAAGTTTAAGAGGAGGTAGTTCACAATAGGTTGAAGTAATTTAGAGTTTGTAAAATACTCCTGGTATGCACAGACATTTGAAGGGCAAGGGCAGAACGAACAAAAAGGGCGCATATAGTGAGTCCTAGGACACTTTGACATGCATTTTGGCCCCTGAGAGGACCCTTTAGCACAGCTTCGGCTCCCGAAAGGGCACTTTAGCATGCGTTTTGGCTCCCCCCCCTGCATGTCACTGCTCTTACATCAAGCATAACAAAGTCAGAAAAGAAATACCATACCTGGAGATTTTTATTTATTTGTTTTGTGAGAAAACTGTTTAAATATTGACTTCTTTTTTTTTTCTGTAAATGATAAACCAAAACAATTCAGTGTCTTGCATGGAATTCAAACCCTTTAAACTTCTCCACTGAGATTGTCTTTATATGTGATCAACACAAGCAGTGTAAAGCAAGAGGAAAATTAAGTGTGTTTTTTAAATCTAACTTAAGATAAAAATGTGGATCTCTGCCACATTTAAAAAACAGCCCTGCCTGCCATCTTGAATGTAGCTTTCCCCCATATTTTGCAAGTTATTGGTAGCATCCTGCATCATTTATGTTAGTTTAGATGAAGTGCCGATTGTTTGTCAAGCCAAACATCCAAAAAAGGTTCCAGCACTGGGGTCAAGTATCTGTACGCAGCCAAAAGAAGGTTCAATGTCCAAACTTGATGATCTAGATTTTCTGGATGGTTTTATTTTCCTACTTCAGCCACAGTTACAGAGTTCAAGCTTTTCTTTGTTCCTTCTGCTACTTCTCTTGCTCTGGTAAAAACCATAGGCCTCAAACCCAAAATGCCTGCTGGTCCTTTCCCAGGCCCCTACACTTATAGAAAGTGCACTGATCCACATTACTTCCTGTCTTAAATTAGAACAAAATAAATGAATAAATAAAAATCAGAATCAACAAATATTAATCTGCAAATAAGATCTGTAAATAATACTAAAAATATAAATTTAAGAATATATTAACACAATTCAAATGTATAAAGAAATAAAGAATAAATAGCTCCAACATTAGACTTAGGCAACTTTTATTGTCATTTTGTATACAGGGTGCATACAAAACAAAGTTTCGTATTGTGCAGCTCTCATAACATTTCCATTTCCTAAAGTGCAGCTGTGATCAAATGCAAACAGTGTGGGAGAAGAAAAAACATGGTGCAAAAAATGCATTGAATAAATCTGATGCATTTATGCAGTGTTTTGGGCTGGATGTTTTCAGTTTGATGCAGAGTCTTTGACATGATTTAGAGTTCTTTCAACATTCAGCTGTCTGATGAGGTGGGGAAGAAGCTGTGTTGGAATCTGCTGGACCTGCATTGAATGCTGGGAAGCCTCTTCCCAGAGGGCAGCAGGGAGAACAGTCCATGGTGGGGGTGTGAGGGGTCATTGATGATGTTACGTGCTCGGGACACGCAGCGCTGGGATGAAATGTCTTTAATGGAGGGCAGAGGAGCCCCGATGATCCTCTCTGCTGTTCTCACTACTTATTCCACCTTCTTCCAGTCTGTGGAGCTACAGCCTCCACACCACACAGTTAGACAGCTGGTCAAAATGATCTGAGGTTGTCTGTGATGTGCACGCCCCAGGAATTTGGTGCTGCTGACCACCTCTATTTTTACTACATACCAGATGTGATTCCAAATATAATCAACTAAAACACAAAGAAACCATCTTTGATAGAAGTTCAGATTATTAAGATACTTAAATTGTACTTTAATATAGTAACATAAATAAACTAAACTGCGTATGTCTGGTTATTTACTGATTGAAATATGGTATCAAATTATTATTTATCTGTCCATTCAAGTGGATGTCAAGAATAAAAGCCTGTATTATTCTTTATATTCAATAACCATAATTTTTCATTGTTTTGTGCAATAGTGGCATATTTTTCTAATAGTTCTGGTTATAATACTTGGATTAACAGGGAATACTGCGAGGAGGTTTCTGAAGGATCCATTTAAAGAGCAGATAAGATCATGGACAAGACAGTGTTTACGTTTTTTACAAATTAAAATAAATGAGATAAGGGAATGGTAAAGTATGCCCCGACTTAACTGTTGTCAATATATATACCATCTGTATTAATGTTTTATTTTTTCTGTCATTACCTATTTTTAAAGTTTAAATAATGGGTATAAAAAAGGAGCATTATGGGCACCAGTGGGTACTCTACAATTGTATATAATTTCTAAATCAACATGGCACTAAAGTTAAAGTAAACTATATCATGATTCATCAATTTACATAATTTTTCTGCAAATATTTTTTTTTTCTTTAACCTATATTTTATTGAAGTAAAAATGGGGAAGTTGTTTGTTTAAAAAAGAAAATAAAGGTGTTTCTTTAATTTTGACCAAAATACATTCATTATTAAAATGTAAAAGTTATATTCATTGAACAAGTAAAGGTTTTAACGCTCTGGGTGGATTTTATTTTGCAGGAGTTGTTGGCGCTCAAGTTCAAAATAGATTCTCTGTATCAGTGGTGTTTCTAACCTCTGTTTAAAAACAGAAGTAATAAACAGTTTTTTGTAAAAACCAAAGATGGTTAGAGGACACCAAGGGGATGGGTTAAATGCAGAGAACGAATTTCCCCATTGTTGGACAATAAAGGGATTAATATATTACATAATTAGTTGGTTTTTTTTTTTCATTTTCTTTTCAAGTATCTCTGTAACTATAATCAGAAAGTAAATCGTTGGTGGCAGCTAAAGATTAGGGTGATGGTAAGGGATGGTAAGGTTTGATGACAGATTCTCTCTTTTAGTGTTTAAAAAAACTGTAGACTGGTGAGTTCTAAATATTGAAAAAAAAGAGGATGTGCTCATTGTCTGAGCAATGGACTTAGAGACGATGATGTTTTATTTGTGTGATCTATAACTCTATAAAACATGTTGTGTCCAGATTGAATCTGCGTTTTCTCTCTGGTCAGTTCTTGTGCATGGATCTTTTGGCATGAGAATGTTTAAATAAAATCTTCCTCGGTCAAGAAGATGTCATGCAAGGCTGTGGGAATTCAGTACATTTTATGCACAAAATATTCTCCTCTCATCATTATATATATCAACATAAAAAAAATGTTGAGATGAAGATCCTAGATGTGTTTTTCATTTGTCTGAAGGCAGATATTTACGGAAGAGGATTAGGGCCACTGGGAAAAAAAAAAGTTAACATATTTTTACATTTTATTTCAGTTTTAATATGGGGGAAAAAGTCAGAATTCTGACTTTTTTTTTTTTTTCAGAATTCTGACTTTAATCTCATAATTCTGAATTTTCCCATATTAAACTGAAATAAAATTTAAAAATCAATTCACTTTTTTATTATTTTTTTCAGTGGCCCTAATCCTCTTCCGTAGATATGGGAAAGAAAGAATATTTTTTAAATCTGTGTCTTTCAAAATAAAAGACAAAACGCACTTGACTTCTGAGTTGTTTTCTGAGGCAATTTAAAATATAAATTTTCTCAAACTTATCTTTCTGAAAGTTCCTTTTAACGCCAATTCAAGTGCAGATAAAACATATGTATCTGTATTTTTCATATTAATGTCGGCGCGCTTCTTCAAAAAGGGAAAAGCTTGTGGCTGATTGAGCCAGGTGATGATTGGGAACACCTGCGCGCGCTGATCTGCGGCGACACTTGCGTGTTTCCGTTTTCCACGAGCTCTCTCCCCGCAGAGAGTCTCTCTTGCTTTTCTCTGACCGTCTTTCTTGTTTATGATGGGAAAACAAACGCTGATGCCAGCTGCTGTTGGTTGTTTCAGTACCGTTTTGCTCCTGCAGCTGGTTTCCTGCAGCCTCCCACTGCTCGGACCCTCCGATGCGCTCTACGACCTGAGCGCTTTGACCTACCCTTACAGCAGCATCCTTTCCCCGCTGCTCAAAGCTCTGTCTGAGCACGGAGGGTCCAGGTTGAGCTCAGGCCAGAGGAAAAAGGCCAAACCCGAGCAGAGGTACGTGAAATATCTGACGGAAGTTTACAAGAAGTCCTCAAGGATGCAGAGGAGCGTCGATGGAGGAAATGTCTACAACACCATCAGGCTGATCAAACCCCAAGATGAATGTCATGCAAAAAGCAACAAAGGTGAGCAGCTTATGTAATGTGATTGGACCTTATATTTGTATTATTATAGCAATGTTTTAGGACTATAAAACTCACAGATAATGGCTCAATTTCCTTACAGTAGATCTGGGGTTCTTAAACTTTTTATAACTCATAGAATCCGACTAGATGGCAAGTTTTCCAATTTTCATTATACTGAAATGCATTTTAAAACGTTATTGCAACTAAACTTTGACATCTCCTGCAGGGGCGTAGCCAGAAATTTTTATAAGGGTGGCCAGGCACAGAACTGTTTGCATGCAATCACAAAAGAAAATCATTTTTATTTTTACTTAAATTAAATTGGTAAATTTAAAATAAAGGATTTTAAATCAAGCTAAAAAAAAAGGCTTTTAAATCAACAACAAGCACAACAAAAACCGGTTTTATATTTTACTGAGTTATTTTTAAATACCAAATTAAAGTTTTATGTAGTAAATATTATTAATATCCTGTTCAAACTAGCACATACATTGTAAATAAAGGTTTTTAAAAAAAATAGATACGTCATCTTATTCGTTCCTAAGTCGTAAATATCGGACGCTTAGGGAACGGTAAAACATTCAATGAGAGAACCCTTCAAGTCACATATTGACGCCAAGGGGGCTGAGGGTACCTGGAAAAACGTCAATATGTGACGAGTTGGGAGTGAGACTGTGTTGCGAAAGCAGATAGGCACCAAAGCCTCAGGGTAAATCTACACTGTTAAAACAGGAAAATTAATGAGCAAAACATCAATATTTTCTAAATAAAGACAAACTATATTTTCCCACAGCCTTTGCTAGCAAATAGATGAATATATTCAAACATTTGTGCTTTCTAGATAAAAGGTTTAGTGGATAAAATACTTTCAGGTTTGAGTTCTGGGCGAACATCTTTTCCATTGTCATTACTTACCTACTTTTCTCAGTAATCATTATGCATAAAATTGATTTTTACAAGTACTAATATCTACATAAATTGATTATTTAATAAGTTTTTATAAAAATAGTTATTTATCTATGATTTCACTGAAGACCCCTAGATTACTTTTCTCTTTACCCCATTAAACACAAAATCTATTTCTGCTTGAATTCTGTATTTATTATCTCTAATGTTAGTATAATAATGAGCATAATTAACCACAGTGTTTTTGTTGAGTAATTGTTAATATATGGAAAATTAAAATGCCACTGGTTAAGTTGTCACCATCTGTATTGGAGGGAAATAAATGGTAGTTGTGGCCACAGGGGTGGCCAATGATTGGGAAAGGGTGGCCATGACCACCCCTGGCCCCCCATCTAGCTCTGCCCCTGATCTTCTGTTTGTTATATGCTATGAACACTACAGAAACAAACATTTGCTCTGTGATTGGTTAAAGGATGCCCTTTTTTTTTCTTTCTTTTACATCAAAGTAGAGTTGAAGGGTTTTGCCAAAAACCTAAATTGCTTTTTTTTTTTTTAAACCAATATGTGACTGCGATTTTCATTTACACTAAGCTTGAAAGCTTACTTGAAATTGAGTCAATTGTACAGAAATTAAATGTAACTTTGGCAAGAGAAGGCTACCTTCCGTGTGACACATTAAGTACATTACAACCACCTAAAGAGCTGGAGAGAGAAATAGTTTTTGTTTTCTTAATGAGAGAGTGTGTAACAATTACTTCTCCTTTAAAGAAAAACATCAAGTGTTTCTATGACAAATGCATATTCTACCAACGTCTCTAAACATCCCATCAAAATTAAAAGCATTATCATAGACTTAGTAGTTTATAAATGCATGGGGGGGTGCACCCAATGGTAGACGCCATGTTGAGTCGCCATTTTTTAATCACAGTAGCTGAAAGACAACAAACCTATCAGCCTTGCAGGTTTTGCCCGATCCAGAAACGCTTAGTCAGTGGTGGAATTTGAAACAATGGAAAAACTGTAGATCGTTGTACTTCCACCTTCTGTTGCAGTGAAAACCACTGAGAAGCAAGAACAACAAACTAATACAAAGAAGTAATACCTGGGAGAAAACATCTGCACAGCTAGCTGGTTTATCTTCCCTGGATGAGCTCAGTTGCAGTATCAGCTGCTGGAGTTTTTTACTGTTTTCAGAGAAATTTTCAATGCATTTCATAATTTATTTTAGCTGATATGACAAGGGGTAATTAAACCGGCTCTGTCATCCTGGTGGAGGTGGCAAGGTTGTTTGTGATCCTACTCTGCATGAACTCCAAAGCAGCTGTTATTAGCTGCTGTTTTTATTTATAGAAGTCATACCAGCTAGTGAGTAGGCTTCTTTCAGCTTTGTTTTCAGATAAATATTTCCATAAATAGGGGGTTACTCCAGTAGCTGGAAGTTGGCTGCCATTCGGCGTTTGACTGGGAAGGGCCTGTTTGAATGGCTGCTACTGTATAGACGCATTTGTTTGTCAATTTAGAATCCCTATCAGAAACCTGGTAGTTTGTGGTTTTTGATATCGAGTGTTAATCGAGTACTGATTAACACTTTACCATGAATAAAAAAATTGATGAAACTAGCTTAGTTCAGTACCTGGATCTTATCTTCTTTTTCAGAAAGTTTTACGCAGGATTTGTTCTACAGCCTTGATCAAGTAAGAAGAAATGAGCAGCTCCTGAAGTCATCCCTGCTGTACAGTTTCAACCTCAACGGCCCGTCAGCCGTCAGCCCGGAGTGTCACCTGAGCATAAAGGAGCATGAGCGGTCCAATGAGTGCCAGCTGTGTGCCGGGGTCTGTCGCACGTTGAACTTCACAGCCAGCACAAGCAGCAGGCGGCGCAGAAACTGGGTGGAAGTGGACATTACCCAGTTTCTCCAACCAATGCAGAAGAGAAATGTCCACCTTCTTGTTAACATCTCGTGCCCTGAGAAGCAAAAGACTGAGAGCGATGGTTCCAAAGGTCCTTTCGGGTTCATCATGAGGTCTCCACCTCTTATTCTGTATCTCAACGACACAAGCAAAGTGGCAAACCAGAGGTCGGCGACGAGTTCCAGTGAAGATCTATGGCCGCACTCTGCAACAAACACGTTTCAGAAGCACGTTCTGAAATCTGCACAAAGGAACGGACACAAGAGATGGAGGAGGGAATCTTCAATTAGCAAGCGTGGAGACAAAAGTGTGGATATACAGCTGCCAGAGCTGAAATCCAGCTCTGAATTCCCCACCACGGACTGTGCCTTGTACGACTTCAGGGTGCGGTTCAGCCAGCTCAAGCTGGATCACTGGATTGTTTTTCCACCGAAGTACAACCCCAGGTACTGCAGGGGGATCTGCCCAAGAACGATGGGCTTCATCTACGGGTCCCCCGTCCACACCATGGTGCAAAACATCATCTATGAGAAGCTGGACTCATCTGTGCCCAGACCGTCCTGTGTTCCCTCCCACTACAGCCCCCTCAGCGTCATGATCTTTGAGGAGGACGGCTCCTACGCCTACAAGGAGTTTAAGGACATGGTTGCTACCAGGTGTACATGTCGCTGATCAGTTATGGCAAAGGCTAGTTCTTCTGGACCATCTCCATTTATTAGCAACTCTGACCACACTAAATTCATAGACCTGTTAAAAAAATGTAGCAATAAAAAAAAAAAAGTTCACGAGCAACTGTGTTTACTTAACCGAGAAGTATTTTATCATGTGAAAGGGGATTGTGGCTTTTTTTTCTTTTTGTTTAGAAAGAGGGTAAAAATGTTTCCTATTCAGCTTACTGTTAATATAGTTGACTTGATGCACTACAAAAAGTATGATTGCTTTTTAGTTTGACTTTTGCTCATTTGTGTGTGTTGTCTGTCTTTATTTAATTTAACACAAATTTCTTTTTTTTTCTTTTTTTTATATAGCCCTCATCTCCAAAAGAAAATGGAAAACGCACTTATAAACTCTTATCAAACCTTTTACATAAACTTTTATTCCCGGGGATTAATGCAAGTCTTTACCTTTATAACCTACAGAATGAACGTTGTCAGTGTTTCGGTGTATATTTATCGTCAAAGTGCCTGTTTAATCTGACTATATGCTTGTATTTATACCGGTTGAATGTGACTAAATGCATATCATAGCTATTTATGCAAACTGGATGAATTGATTGCTCTGTTTACGAACCTACAAAATGAAATAAATGTGTGGCCGACTCTGAAAAGTGGGGAAAAAATTAAATGGAAAATATGCAAAAATATGTTTCTCTGAGTCTTTTAATCAAATACTTTGAGATCTATTTAATCCAGTGGGAATAGAGAAATAAATGATTAAAAATTACTGTTGACAGGACATGAGATTCTTTGTTTTTGGTCTAATATGAGCGACATCTGCATAATTATTTACTACTTTTTTTAAATGGATGAACTACTGAAATTATTTTCAGATTGCACACAAATAGAATAATTCCACAGGGGGGGGAAGAAATAACTTTAGGGTTAGGATTAACTTGGCGATAGCAAACTACTGAGCCTACTGTTGGGTAGGAGGCACAATCTGAAGCCATTCTATGGGACTAATGACCACTAATAAGACATTGAGATAACATACAACAAAGTGGCTGCAAACAGCCTCTTAGTATTTACTGTGTAATGTAAGATGGAATCAAAATGAAGAGCAACCCCATGAGATGATGCACAGGTCCCACCTGTTTGCACAACATGTTCATACTTCATCTTCAGCTGCTGCCAGTTTTTTTCACCTAAATTGAATACATTGATCTACTATTCAAGCAATAAACCAGTTTTCCCTGTAATGTCATGGTTAGAATAAACTATGGTAGGTATTTAGTTTGAGTATATATTTGTGTACATATAAAATTTTTCCATGATAAAATTAACATCTCAAAATGACATTGTTTATATCTCTAATAAACATTCTGGGTGTCATAAAATGAATTTCAGCTCTCCATATTCCTATTGTTACTGATCATCATTTGCATAACTTTGATTAGGAAGAAATGTATTTCAGATATAAATACATATTCAGTCAAGCTGAGAATGTCAAAATAGCCACTTATAATGTGTAAACATTTCTATGTATATAAAATTAAATACATAAAATGTTGTGTATTTAATATGTGAAATTCAGTTTCTACTGCAAAAATGTAATTTAGAAAATCTTTTGATACAGCTTGAACTAGTAATTAGATTTTTTTTTTTACCAGGAACAATCCTGTTTTTAGTGATCTACAAATGGAAAAACAGAGGAGAGTGCTTTAAAAAAAAAACATCAAAACAGCCTGCCTTACAGGACTACATATAAACTTTCACATTAACTCAAGCAGCAATCTTCCCCAACACCATCTACCGCTCCTTTGCAGCTGTGTAGTGTTGTTTCGTATTTTTAAACACATTCTCCATTTTAATTCTGCTTTAAAATCTAGTTCAATGGGTGTGAAATAGTCACTGCTTGTTGTCATGGTGACTCGTCGAATCGGGGCTCCACTGAAAATGGCTTTTCATACATGTTAAAACTCAGAGTGGACTAAACTAACTCACAGCAGCCTTTCTTAAATTGAAAACTTTGTTTCCAACATCAGGCCAGATGAATTCAGAATTAAAGAATCGAGTCTGACTTTGATAAACCTTTCTTGTGAAGCGGGCCCCTGGAGAGCCCATTCAGTGATTGTGCTGCATCATCAATGCGCAAAAGATCAAAGTTACAAATCCTTTCTCCCAGGACCTGATGGACACCACTGTTTGCAACATGTCAGTATTTCTCTGTGCTGTTTTTGTGTAGTTTGTTTTCATTCTTGTAAATTGTTTGTTTTTATACATAGGTTTGCATGTTTATTCTGTACCAACCTACTCTGTTCTACATTTCCTTTAATTTAAGTATGCAAATTTCTTTTTTATACCAGTACAGTGTTCTTTATGTAGTAAAGTTTCCCTAAACTTTTTGTTTTCTAACTTTTTTTTTGTCTTTTGCCTTCTTTACACAAATCTCTCCATTGCATGACAATAAGGATATTTCCACTCTATTCTTTTAAGTACTATCACTGTAAGGTAAGACTTTTCAATTACTTATCCATTATCGACTGCCTGAGCTAAAGAATAATTATGGTAACACATTTATGACAGAGATCAGTGTAAATTGAGTCAACAAGTAAATATACCTAGTTTTCTAATGCAACGGCAAATGTGCCGTTTCAATAATGCCACACTACAAATATTTAAAACTAATAGAAATGCATGGTTGAAATGCTTTACCCTTACAAAAAAGTTGAAATGCAGATAGCCTTTTTCCACCCAGCACACTTTTGTAAAGTCTCTAATAAAATTTGAGCCATAAAAGATCAAGCTTTATCTTGCAATGTAACCTCCAGTCCACTTGGTGGCGCTGCTGTACCAAGTGTTCAAACACACAAGAGGGAAGGACAACGAACCGGAAAAGTCTTAGGAAATCACATCTGAGAAAAGGCCGAACGGTGAGTCTCAATGTCATCGTTTTAAATGCGCATTTTCCTTTGTTTTTTTCCTTATATATATTTCAAGCATCAAAACTTTCTGTTGATAAGATACATTTTCTTATCCCATAACACAGAGGTTTCTTCCGGGAGGGGGTTTAAACGGTTTCAAAGATATTTGTGCTTTAGCCGTTCGAGCTAACTTTTACTGTATTGCTAACATTTAGCTTGGTTGCTTTGGTTTTTAATATTAACCTTTACACTTTATAACAGGCAACCACAGCGCAAGTACTAGCATTTGTTACATTAAAATGTAGTTTTTGTGAAAATATTCAGTTAGGCAGAGGTGTCTTTAAAATTAAGTTTAAAACAAAAACCTAAGATCCCAAATACAAGTTATTAAATCAAGTTTGATACTCCCGATCTATATATAGATTGCATACTTTTCATATTTAAACACATTTTCCATATTTAAACACATTTTCCCTGACACTATTGGCAGATTGTAGCTTTGTTTTCTGGCTTCCTTGTTTTAACACTTAAACTGATTTAATAAGATTCTACATTGTTTTATCTTGTGTAATGGTTTCCACTTTAAAAGGAAAAGCAATTACTTATACTAAAATACATTAAAAGTTTTATATGGTTTATTACATTTATTGAAATTTTCACTTATGAAGTTACATTATTAAAGTGCTTTTTGGCAGAATTGTATTCCTTTTTATTTTTTTACTCTTTACAGTGATCGTAAAATGTGATACTAGCTGGTTAATTAATCAGATTGTTTGCTCATGCAATTGGCCTGTGGCTTAACAACTTGGTGCTGGGGAACTTTAGTTTTGAAACAGTTGTCAGATTGGTGTCGATTAAAAATAAGTCCTAATCAAAGCTTTTGTTATAAAGAAAAAATCCAGCCACGTATATAATCATCCCTGAATGAAAATTAGATTTTATCCCCCTTGATTCAATCAAACATTATTTATATAGTACTTTAAAAACACTAATTTGACCAAATTGCTGCGCAAAAGCAGAAATGACAAACACTATTAAATGCACCAAGATTAATAAAAGAATATAAAATTAAAACAATCTAGAAAATTAAATTTAAAAAGGATAAAATCGACAGACTCCAATATCTTTTTGAGTATTAAACGCCAGAGAAAAAAGATGACACTTAAAAATTGATTTAAAAATGGTCAGATAGGAAGCCTGCCTAATGTACAGATATACAGTGGCAAATCATTCCAGAGTTTGGGACCGGCTACAGAGAAGGCCCAAATACATTTTAATGTACTTGAAAAAAATGTTTCCCTCTTAGTTTTTTTTTAAATTATTATTATTATTGTGAAGGTTTGGCCTTTTGATCATTTTTACTTTGCTTTGGCAAAAGATCAGTACTGAAAGAAGCCATCTGATAATCTATGTCAACAAGGCACTCTGGGGTTAATAGGAAATTGTTTGCAGGTGCAAAAATGATTGCTAGTATTGTTACAAAAGATGGCATTCTAATTATTCTCAAGAAGAGTTTAATTAGTCATGTTCAGGCAAAGCTAAGGGTAGAGAATATATAGTTTTATCATATCGTATATCTGGATAAGGCGAACCAAGTATTTAAACGACAGGAAAAATGTCAGCATAAATGACTCAAGTTTCTGCTGGGGTTAGATTAAATGTAGTTTTAGATTCTTGTCAAAAACAAATTAGGTTAATGGGGACTTTTTAGATGTTAAGTGATAATTAGTTTTTTGGAGTCTGATTCTTGGTTTTGTTGTGTTAATTTACTTTATGGACTAAGTAAGCTTTGTTAATGTATTTTTTTTTTCTTTTTTTGATTATTTACCAAGATTTTCATAAAATTACTTTTTTTTTTTTTATACATGTTACCAGAAAAAAAAATTAGCCAATCACTTTAATTCTAATTACTAGGCTTCAAGGAACCAACATTTTAGTCACTGTTTGCTTTGTTTACTATTATGTATAAGATTCCCTACAGTAAAGTATATTTCTTAAACTTTTATTTCAGTTTTAGAACATATTTTATAATTTCTGTATGTTTGGGATGTTTCAGATCTGCTCTCTGGTGAACATGGGCCGCCACTTTGGAGACTTAGCCAAGGTCAGGCATGTGATCACATACAGCCTGTCGCCCTTTGAGCAGAGGGCTTTCCCCAACTACTTCTCAAAGGGTCTCCCAAACGTGTGGAGAAGATTCACAGCCTCTTTCTTCAAAGTTGCCCCTCGTGAGTTCTTAAATGATTTAGCTGTTATACTGTTCATATTTGACCCATTTTGATTTTCATGTTATTGGTTCTACGCTATCAGACATTAATGTTTAAGTCTTTACATGTTAATTTGAACTAGTAATGTGTATATACAGTGTTTTCTGTTAAGTTGGATTAGGAACTCCTTGCTCTCTGCATGTTTAGCGTTTAGAAAAGACAAAGTGAATATCTGGCTGTATCAAAACCAAGGACTTAACATTTGCTAATTTTATTTCTTTTACAGCCATGGTCCTCATGTATCTGACCTACAGCTGGGGCAACAGTGTTCATGAGCAAAGCAAGAAGAAGAATCCTAGTGACTACGCCAGCGATGAATAAACTTTTTCCATCCCCTTAAAAGCTGCTCTGTTATATTTCAACTCTATGTAACCAATAAAATGAAAAGTATTTGTGTGAATCTGTCTGTTTCTTTTTCTCTTATGTTATATATTTTAACCCCTTCGGCAAGTGCAAAATCAGTGCTATGTGTTAAGAAAATTTAGTTTGGAATACTTCATCTGCAGCATCTGTATGGACCATACTAGATTTGGTCTGTACAGGGAAATGTTTTTTTTTTTTTTTACTAATAGTTTGTATACATCTCTTCTATTTTCCTTCTTTCTTTAGACATCCCACTTTAAATTATCAATCCTTTTTATTGGAATAATTTTGCATAGAGGTGCTGCACATCTCTTACAAGTGGTGGGTCTTTTAGAGATGAATGTTAAGATGTATTTCCCTCATCCAAGAAAGTCTATGCATTTCTCTTCTGAAAGGATTCAGACCAAGATGCTTTGAACAGTAAAAAAAAAAAAAGTTGGCACATACAATAAAGAGAAATAAATCAGAACATTTAAGGCACATGTTATCTAAAATAGCCAATCACATAAATATCTACCCCCAGTGGCTCTATTAAAGTCAATTAGAATAACAATATGTTTTAAGATAAACATTTAATATAAAATGTAAAGCTCAGTAGCTTTGTTTTTAATAGTAACGAGAAGTTTGAGCTTTAAAATTTTTTTTATGAACGCTATAAAATAAATCGACAAGCAGTACCACTTGTAGCCTGTGGGTGGCGCACGCGGGCAGGCTGGTGTCTTTCTGCATTGTGACGTCATTGGTCGACAAGCTGTCAGAAAATTCCTGAACGCTCTCACGCAGATCCGCCGGTGCACCGCATGCTGCTGCTACTGCTCAGTTTCATGGAACAAGAGAGAGGGTGGATCTACGTCTCCTGACCGAAAGCCACCAGAGCTGCAACTTTTGTTATTAGCACTTGACTTCATTTTCATTCCTCGTTATAACTCCAAGGCGATTTAGCTAGTTAGCTAAAAACATGTCAGTTGTAGGCTTTGACGTCGGCTTTATGAACTGCTATGTAGCAGTAGCCAGAGCCGGAGGGATTGAAACTGTCGCTAATGAATATAGCGACCGATGTACACCGTAAGTATGAGAACTCGCATATTTATTTAGCAGTTTTCTTTATGTTGCTTAAATGTATATAAATATTGAACTTAAATCAATTGGCTCGGTTTTAAAGTTAATAACAATGTATGATGCTAATGTTGCTAGTTAGCATGCTAACAAATTTCACAACAGGAAACGTTGAAGCATGTGAGTGCTAAAGCTAACGCTAGCTGAAAAAAGAAAAATTATTTCTACTTTTGTTTTCTTTATTGAAATATAAAATAGAACTATATATGTCTTTGGCGTTCAACGTACACAATATATGGATAAGTTGTTGACGGGCCGGATCAGGTGATGCAGGCATAAATAGCACATGATGAGAGGAGGCCGGTTGCATCCCTCTGTCAAAACCCCGAGATCAGACTGCTGTCTTTCCTTCCCGACCCGTTCGATCACCTTAAAAAAATAGTATTTATTAATAGAAGAACTGGTTTCAAATCAGTAAATATTAGACTTAAATGCAGAAAATAAGAAGTATACAAGAGCATGTTCTAACGCGCAAATATGATAGAAATCTAGAAGCCATAATCATTCTCACCCTTTCTGGTAATCCTTCTCTGCATATTTGGTTTATCTGAAGCGATTTAAAAAGATTTTTCATTCTTTTGTTGCCGTAAAACCTCCTTTTTTAATGCATGCATTTACTCATTCAATAAACAGTAAAAAATCTTATCTGTTCTCATTTGGTGTCACATTCTCACTAAAACATCAATGTTATCATTGTTATTAGTAAAGATGTAGCCGTAATCAGGTTGTTCTTCTTTAAAACAAAAGTGTTTTGTTTTGTTTTTTCACCCACTGCTGATAAAATATTAATATTCTGGTATTAATAATTCAATACATTATGTCTTTCATAAGCTGATTTAATCTAATAGATGGAGATAAACAAAAAATAAGGAAGAAACACACAAGTAGTAGTAGCTTTGGCTGATTTATTTATTTAGTCAGGCTTTCTGCTCAGGCAGCCAGCCTGCATTTAACTGCTTAAAATAGATGTTCAAGAAATGTAGTTTATTTTTTTTTTATTTAATTTTTTTTATTTAATGCAAAGGATGCTCCTTTAGTCACCACACCTTGACTCTGATTTTTTTTTTAATCTTTCATGACAGGAATCCATTTCAAGTAGCTGGATCTGCTGTTTTGTGAGCCAGCAGAAAAAAAAGACAGCATTTCCCTAAAGTGCGGCGTACACTGATTTTCGGGGCGATTTTTTTCAGTTGATTTCGATCAGCCTGATCGTGAAGTGTATAGGGGGTTACGAGCGGCAATCCGCCTTCCAAACCGTTGTGGGCAAATCGCTCAGGGCGCATGCACAAACAAGGATTCTTCTTTTTATTCCTCCTCTCTGATGTAAACACAGCAGGGTGGCAGGGATGCAATGAGTGAAATGCAGCTCTGCCTGCAAAATTGACAGACCGCAGCAGACACGCCTGCTCAGCCACGTCCTTTTTCCAAATACGTCGTCGCCCTTTCTTTCTAGGACCCTCAGCACAAAATTGCACAGATTGCCAAGGCTGCGCGGTTCGCTATATTGAGCTTAATATCCCCAATATTTGTTTGGCTTCAGGATAGAGAGCTACAGAGCAACGTGGTGTTTAGTCCTACATTGTAAGCAGGTAGATTGCATCAGAGCGTCGGGTCGAACAGAAATCGTGAGCTGTGAACTCACACTGTACGACTAAATGCAGGGTTTAGTCGAAGAGTGTGAGCAGCAGATGCGTGCAAAGATTGAAAAAAAAAATCGCACAGTGTACGCCCGGCTTGAGCTTAGTGATTAGGGTAGTACAGCAACAAGCTGGGGAGGGGCATTTTAGCAAGTTCCCCATTATAACCTGTCACAACATTGCATGCATGCTTTGAGGGGCAATTTAATTCATTTTTTGTTGTCTAATCCCAGAGCATGCGTTTCATTTGGACCCCGGAATCGATCTATTGGTGCAGCGGCAAAAAGTCAGGTATGTGTTAGTATGAAGCTCTAAAGCCATTTTGCACATTGTTATCTAGCTCTGGACATCAGTTTTGTAAGGTGCTTTCCAACACAGACACACCATAAAGCCCTAGATCCCTCAATCGGCATGTTCTCAAAACTAATGGTTACCTTTTTTTTTTTTTATCTGATTAGGTTGTCACAAACTGCAAGAATACAGTTCAAGGGTTCAAGAGGTTTCATGGAAGAGCATTTTCAGACCCATTTGTGCAATCCCTAAAAAACAGCTTGGTTTATGACATTGCACAAATGCCGACGGGAACAACAGGCATCAAGGTGAGTTAAGCCCACAGGCACCAACATTTACTTTTCTCTTTTCTGCTAACGTTAGCCTGAAGGTTTTACGAAGGGTAGAAAAACAGTGAGACATATTTACTTCCTGGTCTTGTCCAAATCTGAACTTTTATGAAGTTAATGGTTGTGAGCAGATGGCTTTGTTTAATGTCCCTTGGCTGCAGTGTTTGAATAGTGTAAAGATTCCTGTTAATAGCTTTGGTCCTAACTTGGACTTGTCTGTTTAAAATCACTTGTTTTTGTTCAGGTTAAACTATTATGTTGGTTTTGATTGGCTGATCTGCTGAAAAAATATGCAGATTACAGAAGATTTGGGATCAAAAATGATCCACGTTGGCAAAACACTAAGCCTTGACGCCACAGCATTATTCTGCCTCCTCCATGCTCTTCACTAAGTGCTGGGATTGTTTCGGTGATGTACCAGACTCAGATTTTTAACGTTTTGGGCATGTTTGTGTCTATTACATAATTACATTTTCTCCCCAAGATTTTAGGAAAACTTTGGCCTGGATTTTTTCTTTTTATCTTTATTTTTTTTCAAAAGTCATTCCTTTTTCCAAACACACACAGAAAGCAGAGGACTATTGTCACATTTAGCACATGCCAAAACGATGTACAACATGTAGGATGGAGTCTCGCAGTAGTGGATGCTCACATCCACCACAGATTGTAATTCCCTAGATTATAAAGAGATTTAAAGAAGCTGTAAAGAGGACAATTGTAGCCTTTAGAGTTACATCAAGCAGGCCTACTTTGTACCATTTGTTTATTTCTATCATTCTTCTGACTGATATCGTTTGGCTGCATTTTAGGAAAATGTGATGTTAGTGCTGAAAATTGTGAACAACCCACATTTGTCTGACTCATTTCTTTCTCTATCACCAAATGGTGTCCTGATCACTCTTTCATCCTCTCCAGTAGAAAACCTTTGTCTGATGTGGATTTGAGTTGTTAGAGACCAATCAGATGGCCCAATTTAGCACTGATGTGCAGAGTTTGAATGCATGATGTTTGAATAAAAATGTCCTTTCAGAGTATTGCAACCAAGCATTCCTTTGTGATGGGGATGTTACTGTGATGCATGCTCTGCAGTGCCTTTCTTTGGTAACTTCTCTACTGAGCAAACTTTGGCTAAAGGATGCAGGTTTCAGGGAGAATGCTAAAATCTGCACTAACTGGACAAAGATTCGGTTTACAGGTGTTCACCCTTATTTAAACAGTTTTTTGCATCTTGTTGAATGAAACAGGATGGGAGTTTTTTTCTGCTTCTTTCTTTTTGATTTGAATTAGATTTTTTTTTTTTTAGAGGGTAGGTTATACTTTTTATGCCCTTTGTACTCATAATAGGAAATTCCAAGACTCCTGAGAAAGCTAACAAGGTAGATCTTTTGGTAAAAAATGGTTTCATATAATCAATGGATTATATTGTTTTTGGTTTTATGACTATAAAAGTTTGATTGACTAAATGTTCATGTTTCTTTTTGAATCTAAAGCTACTAAAATAAGCCAGATTAATAGAAATTTACAGCACCTATTCTGTGCAGAGTTGGGAAACATCCATGTCATAACAAGTTCACCTTTGCTCAGCTCTGAGTTGCAGCTCTTAGTGCTACTTTATTGCTTTGAAACAGGTCCTGCAGATTTTTTTTTGTGTGTTTAACTAAAAG